TCTGCCCCCCCCCCCCCCCGCATTGCCCTGCAGTCTCTTCTGCACAGTAGGAGCAGCTGTGCCCCCTGCTTCGTGCCTGAGCAATGGCCGGTCAGTCTGTAGTCACCATCAAGGGTTTGACTATTGCTTCTCCATCAAAGCCCTAGGCTGCCCATCTCCTACAGCTTCCTGACCTTGCTAGAGTCATTTCTGGGGACCATCTTGTTCATAGCCAAGGAAGAGACCAAGTGTCCTTCACAAGGAAGCCCTGCCTATCCCTGTAAAGCACAGACTGCCCCCATGACGGGACATCTCTGCTGAGCTACGTGGGCAGAAAGTGGAGTGTCTTTAAATAGCATTTAGCTCTTTGGTTCCCAGCAGCTGAAGGAATCCCTGGAGCTAGAGCAGAGGGTCTTAGAGCCTCAGGCCAGGGCAGTGGTTTACAGAAGCATTTGTCTTCCCAGTGGGTCTTCCAAGCTGCTGTGCTTGCAAGTGGAGATCTCGACCAGGTCTCCTGCAGGAACTCATTCACCTGTTCCAAATCATCTGGTTTCCAGACTTGGGAGCAACAGGGCTCTCTCAGGGACTGAAACTCTCTGATATGATTCCTCCTGCCCCCACCCCAATTCCTTCCTTTCCACTGTTCTCAAGCCGTCTCACAGCAGCCCTCCTTCTGCTGCATTGCACCAAGGCAACATCTCATCAGGGCTGCTGCTTGCATTAGCCAGAGGTGCTCTCTGGGGTGTGCTGTGAGGGCATACTGGAGCGGGGGGTAAGTAATTACCCGGCTGCTTCAGATACATTCCCATGTGAGCCTCTCCTACATCATTTCTTCTCTACTAGAGATCTGCCCCTGAGGAAGCTGTGCCTCTGCTCTTCCAGTGGAGGGTTTGGCTTGCTTGGGAGGCGGGGGTCTCCCTAGAATCCCAGACACGTACTGGAGATGAGGAGTTTGTTCTTGCTTCATTAGGCAGGAGACGGTTCATGCCATATGCTCCATGTCGGGCACACGTTGTCACAGCAGCTGGTCTTGGTGATGAGTGACCAGGCAGCAGCACTCTCCTCCTGCCGCTGTCGTGGGCTGGATGTGCAGCGGCATGTGCAAAAAGATCTGTAATCAGAGGTTCTTATTTCTGGTCTGGAAATGTTGCTGGGCAAGTCCTGGCCCATCCAGCCATTAATCCCAACTCCGCCTCTTCCCCTTTCTAATCTGAACAGAACGTGCGAGCGAGCATGCAGATCGAACCCTGTGCCTGGTGTTGGCCTGAACGAGCAAGTGTCCTTGAGCAAGGGCAGAGCCCTGTGCTTTCTCCGTGCCCCTGGCTGTGAAGCAGGGCGAGCTCTTTGTCATCCTCCTGTGGGGCTGTCTCTGCATGAGCTTCCCAACACCCACGTAATGCTGTGCAGAAGACGGGCCTTTCTCCAGGCGAAGGGCTCAGTGTTGATACTGCCTTGTTGAGACATGCTTCACTGAAGTTAATGACATTAGAGCAGGACAAGAGCAGAATCGAGCCCTTTGTGAGCTGGTGGGAGATGGGGCTGACGAGGTGGAGGGTTGGGGGAAGGCTCTGCACCCTCCATCAAGGAAAGGTCCTTTCTCCATCTGGGCTCGAAGTCTCTGATGTTTCTACCCCACGTGGAAATGTCCAGTTGCATCCACTCTACATCGAGGCCCCAAACCAAGACAGGGAAGGAGCAGCCTCAGATCTTCTCAGTTTGCCTCACGTGAACATGCTCCTAACCAGAGAGGATTAGGGGGGCAGCTGCGGGCACCTCTTTCACTCCCTCTGGCACTACTGTGCCTTGTCTCTTCTGTGGCCCCTGGGCACTGATGGAGCCCCAGGCAGGCCAGGAGAGCCGGGCAGGGAATGGGGGAAAATGGGTACCATGCAGGGGATACCTTGGGAACAGCTCTGAATGGTCCATCCAAGGTCCCAGAGGAGACGGTGGCTCCGTGCTCCTGGGGCCTTTGCTGGGCCCTGGAGAACCTCGGTTGGGCTGGCAGGGGGATGGCAGGGAGGGCCGAGATGCAGCATTAGCCAAGCATTTCCTCCCAGCCTAGACATGTCCAGGGGCTGCAAATCCATGTCCCCTGCTCCACTGCCCTGATGTTTGGCTGTTAATTGCTTCACAAGCTGGGAGTGAGCTGGCAGATGTTTAAAGCACTTGAAAATGTTGCCTTTCAAAAGAGAGGGTACAAGAAAAACCCCCTCTGCTGCATACAGGAACAGAGGCAAGCACTGCCAGCCCCCACTGTCATGCCTAGGTCTCTGCTGGTTTTCTTCTTGCACCATTACTAGCAGGGCACTGGCTTGGGGCTGTCTGTGGACTGCTGCGTTTCTCCCTCCAGCTGTAATCCTCCTGCCTGCCTCCTCTCTCTCCACGCACAGCGGGGAAATGAGGACAGCTCACATCTTCCTTTGTCCACGTGAGGCTGTGGAAGAGCTGTGGCCAGAAGGGATGCTGCTGCCTTTTTAGAGGGGCAGGGACTGCCTCGTAGCCTGATGCCCTCTGGTTCCTGCAGCAGGCTCTGCAGAGGGGCTTGCCCTTTCCTTGCACCCAGGCTTCATTATAACTCTCTTATTTCCCCCACCCCATCCTCCCTCCTTGCAAGGAGTAGTCTCCCTGCTTCACGTTTACCACAAGGGGTTTGAAGGCTGAGCTTTGGCTTCCTACCAGCTTTGCTGCTGGCCCTGCCCCTTGCCCCTGTATGGCTTAATACCTGGTGCTTAGGGCTCCTACTGATGCTAACCATTGGGGCCAGGTGCCTCTAGGGCATGGTTTCACTTGGTTGCTGCTGAGCTGTAAGGCTGGGTCCTGAGGTCACTTTCCTGGGGCTAAGACTGCTCTGTACTGTCACCAGAACCAAATGCACGTAAGCCTCGATCACCTTGCAGGCAACCATGAAGGGTGGGATGGGCTGGCAGCATGTGTAACCTATCTGTCCTCTCTCATGATTGTAGGCAGCCTTGGATTTTGTGGTGGAAGAGGACCTGAAAGCTCATCTGACGTGCTGGTACATTCAGAAGTACGTCAAGGAGAACCCCCTGCCGCAGTATCTGGAACACTTACAGCCTTAATGCAGGACGCTGCCGAGCCCAGACTGCTCTCACACCAGCAGGCCCCGTCCCTGACTCTCCAACGCGGCCTTTGCTTCTGCGCGGTCTCAGGAAACCCCCCCCACCCACCCCCACACGCACTCAAAA